TTCCTGGCCTGTCATATGACCCTTCTTCTCACAGTTGTGGCCATCGTTATGCACCTGCCTCAGCAGAGCCAAAACCAGGGGATGCCTGAGCTAAAGAGGAATACCACGTGTTGCATCAGGTATTTCATTATAACTGTGAAAATCTGACTAGTAAAACGTGTCTCCTGAATTCAGAGGCGAGAGTCAGCTCCTACTGTTGAAATGTGATCTGAAGATTAAGAAACATCCCAACATTTTGTCTGTCTTCTGCCACCGCCTTTTCAGAGCACGAGAATTTTGTGCTTGATTCTGGCTTGGGTGGACTTCGAAGAGATACTGCCTCTGGTGCTTGTGAACTTCGCACCATGCTCACGGACATCTCTTGCAGCTGTGGCTGTGGAAAGATGCTGAATTCGTGGGTAAAACACTTGGACCTGAATCTCAGCCGCTTAGCAGTTGTCAAACCATAAAGTTTGCTGAAGTGACTCTGCATCTGAAGTCCTCCCCTTCCAGTGCATCAGAATCCAATGAGTCTTTATTAAGTGCTTCCTGGCAGATGTGATGCCAGGCACCAGGAACTCCAGAGGCTTGGTTGCTGGTGGTGAAGACAGACACATGAACCAAAAAACAGCTCTGGAGAAGGATGAGTGCTGCTCTGTTCCACAGATAGGAAGGGCAGGATGGGAAGCACAGACTTGAACTTGTGAGACAGAATGGCCTTGACCTGCCTAGTGGAGAGCTGCCACTGGAAGGAGCTTTACAGGTATGCGAAAGCCACGGACACATTCAGCGGAGATATTCAGAGGTTAATGTAGTTTGTGCAAAGGCCCTGTGGTCAGGCCTGGCACGGTAGCCTCATGGCTAAAGTCCTCAGCTTGCACACACCAGGATCCCACATGGGTGCTGGTTCTAATCCCAGCAACCCTGCTTCCCATCCAGCTCCCTGCTCATTGCCTGGGAAAGCAGTGGAGGATGGCCCAGAGCTTGAGGCCCTGCACCTGCATGGGAATCCCTGAAGAAGCTCCTGGTTCCTGGCTTCAGATTAGCTCAGCTTTGGCCACTGTGACCATTTGGAGAGTATACAGTGGATGGAAGATTGTTCTGTCTCTCCTTCTCTTTGTAAATCTGATCTGCCTTTCCAATAAAAATAAATAAATCTTTTTAAAGCTTTCTCTACTATAGAGTAACTTTGACAGTGAAATTAAACACACTATGCAGTACCCACACATGGTAATCACACCCGAGACAGTAATAATTCTAGTAATAACAAAAATACTTCACCATTACAGTTCATCGATTCAGGACAGAGAGTTGGCACTTGACACTTCTGTCAAGGTGCTGCTGAGATGCCTGCATCCCACGATGGAGTGCCTGGGCTTGAGTCTTGATGCCAGCTTCTTGTGATACACACCCAAGAGGCAGCAGGTCATGGCTCAAGTCAGTGGTATCCTTGCCACTCACATGGGATCTCTGGCCTGAGTTCTAGGTCTGGGCTATAGCAGGCTTTTGGGGAGTAAGCCAGTGTATGGATCATCTCTCTCTGTCTCCCTCTCTCTCTCTACATGTCTAATAAATAAAATAAATAATTATTAAAATGAATAATTCAGAACAGAAAAAATGATATCACTTTATTTTTTCTGATTAAAAAAAAAAAACCTGGGACTAAGTCATCATCAAGCATTAGCGAGGGTGGGATAAGGTGGTGGTTAAGCCATTCTGAGAAAATGACTGGCAGTCCCTTAGAAAGTAAACATGGAATGTTACAAAAGATTGCATGGCTGTGGGCGGGGCCCAAAGTGTGCTCTGGCTGAGAGGAGGGCACCTGTTAGAGTGACAGCTAGCATTTCAGCTTTATGGCTTGTAAACATTACCAGTCTCATTCTCAAGCATGTTCAGGAAGCAGTTTGTATATGTCAAACAATGCAGAAACTCTGAGAAGTTTCCAGAATTTCAATATTTCTGTCTAATCCCAGAAGGAGAGGGGATCCTTTTTTCTGCCAAGGACCATTTACATATTAATAACATCATTCATGGGCCATACCTAACTATTACTGTAGCAATTACCTGTTGTAGATTTCTTGAATTCGGAGTCCTGTCTGCTGTTGTCTTGGCAGGGTCAGGCCAAATGATTTCATCAGCATTATACCACGCTCCAAGTCAGATGTGCCCCACCCCTGGTCTAAGGACTACGCCTGCTGACTCTGGTCAGGTGCTTACCTTTAGCACTTGCGTGAGTCTGTTTTCTGTTTAACTCAAATACTGGGGAGGAGCTTTTGGGGAGAGAGGAGTTTCTGGGGAGGTTGAAGTTCAGGATCAGGTGGGTCCCGAAGTTGGGGCTATGGGGACTCTGGTCATGGAAGATGGACAGGAATGACTTCATGGGATGCCAGAAAGATGAGTGAGAACCTAGGCCAAGCGTGAACTGTAATGATAATCTGCCCTCTCACGTGAGCTCCGCCCTCCGAGGCTGCATCCCCAGTGGACCCATAAACAGCCCGCAGCCCAGCCTCCCAGCCTCGGCAACTGGATTAAGTCTCCACCCCTAAACATCAACCATTAAGATATCAGCTCTTCAACATCTGCTTGAGTTTGGGGTGACAAGTCCTACTCAGATCAAAACAGCACTGTTTTCTTAAGCACTCCACAAATGTGATTCCCTTACAGTAGCTTATTTTCCCAGCACATGCGTTTATTTGTCTTTCCTGTACTCACATCTGAATGCTCACCATCTATTGCCTTAGTGAATGCTTTAACTCCACCTGAAATATGTCTGCTTAGTTTGCTTCTTGGTGCTGGAAGGCTCCTCACAGGTAAACAGTGAATCATCGGGTCCTCTCCCATTTGTTCTGCACTTCTGAAGTCAGGTGTTGGGGGCAGGAAACATGGATTTGGGCATTAAAAGGGAAGGGATTGGTCTGAACTGAAACTCAAAGCTGGTGACATGCCACATCTCAGAGGATAGTAGCCTGCTTTGGTTGTTACTAGGGATGTACTTAGAAATGTAGAGTTAAAAAGAATTATTGTATTAATGTGAAACATAAAAAAGTCAGTCAAAAGGAACTGGGTCTCTGCCTAGACTGTTAAGGTCTCTGGTTTCAGCAATAAGTTTTATTTTTATTTTTATTTTTCTGTTTTAGTACCTAGTTTATTACATTATGTAACTAATAGCATGTTATTATGACTATTATGTATTTTACTGAATACCTAGCACTACTATAAACTTGGAATTATGGAAGATCCTAAGCAAATCAAATTTTAGAAGCATTACTATCATCAAGCAGCATGCGATCTCTTTGTGAAGTTGATGCTGGATTCCAGGTACTCCATGACACCAGCGGAAGCCAGAGTAGGCATCAATGAAGTGAACTTGAAGTAAGTCAATGGCAGACCTCACTCCTCAACTGGCGAGTGTGTGTGTGTCCTCCTGATAGTCATTTTTATCACACACTCGATAAATCAGGCAAGCTCAAATTCTTCATGTTGACTATTACCTCATATAGTCTCTGTTGCCATGCAGAGCAAGTCGTATTACTTCCACCTTATCCAAAAAGAAATGAAGGTGCCGGGCAATTTGTACAAAGCCACCAGGCAATGAAGGGTCAAAGGGGAATTCTATGGGAGGTCTGTGTGCCTCCCCATCCCCAGGGACAGAGTCCACTCAGAAAGAGCATTAAGTGCACCCTGTGTAAAGAAGAAGGGGTCCAAGTGGTAAACCAAAGCTTGATGGATGAGGATATCCATCATGACAATGTAGGCAGGAAGACACGATGTCAGGGGTTACTTGATTAAAGCACAGGCAGAGATTGCTTATGGGAAATCACTCTAGAAGACTGCTCTTCCAAACTAATCCATGCATCTTTAATCCTAGATTTACAAAGAGGCTACCAGGGCTTCCAGATCTCGCTGGAATCAGCCAGTTGCAGACACAGACATTTTCCCCAATCCCAATGGCTTTGTGCAAAATCAGGCACGCCGGTCAAAAAGCTGGGGCCATTTTTTTTTTTAAACGATGGTAAAATATACACAGGGTTTACCATCTTACCTGTTTTTAAGTTCACAAGTGAGTGTATTGAGTACCTTTATACTGCTAGGCAACCTCACCACCATCCATCTTTTCATCTTGCAAAAACTGAAATGCTTTTCCCACTAAACCACTATCAGCTTGCCCTACCTAGCCCCTGAAACGATCACTCTGCCTTCTCTCTTAGGTGTGTGATGGCCACAGACACCTGTCGGACTGGCATACTTCACTCACCCAGTGTCCTCAAGGGGCACGCATGCTAGGATTCTGTTCCTCTTGAAGGCTCAGTAGCGTTCCATCGTGTGTATGGACCACACTTAGCTTACGCACTGGCCTTCCCTGGAGGTGTGAGTTGCTTTCAGCTTGTGGTTGTTGTGACTGATGTTGTTGTGGACGTGGGTGTTACCATGTCTGTTCCTTTCTTGTTGCTGTGTCCCTAGAGTGCAGTGATTCTGTTTTCAGTTTTATAGACTTCACAATACTGTTTTCCATGGTGATTGTGGGGAGAGGATCGTGTATTCACTCTCTTCTCTTTCCTGCAAATGCCCCGTTCATTGCAAATTTAGGTGTGAGAGCTTTTCTGCCTGCCTGGGTGGCCAGGGACACCCTGCACTGGCTTGTGGCCACTCCTGTGCGGTCTAAGGCCATTGGCTTTGAGGCCCAATGAATTGGGCTCCTCCCACTCTTGCCTGAACAAATGATCATAGGTGAAGGTCATTTAATAAATGCCTGCCCCTGTCCTGTCACCCTAGCAAGCTTTAAATCTGAGCTACGTCTGCTTGGATAGAAATCATCCTTATCCATGCTAGTGGACGGTAGGTGCCGTTTAGCTGAGCATCTGACCACATGCCAGACACTGAGCGAGGACTCGACACACCTTGTCACCCTTGATCTTCACTCCAACAGTTCACAGAGAAGGATCCAGTCACAGTGAGGTTAGCTGATCTTCCTGAAACTACATGGCAAGAGACCAGAAGAGACTTAGTGTCTTGGACCTTACCTGGGATGCTGCAGGGCCAATCTTGGGCCATCCAATCTCTCTTCCTTCCCTTCTCAACTTCACAACCAAGCTCAACATTGGGCACTGCTTGACGAAGATAAAGACATGTGCAGTCTTACTGATAAACGTCCACTGGAAAATGTGTGCACCATTCTTGTTGGTAACCCTGAGTGTCCCCCTGGTTCTCTGGCTAGGTCTGTACCTTAGTTATTCGGCCAGGCGAAGTCCTAGTGCACCGTGTCCAAACACTGACCCCAGGTTGCTCCCTGCAGTAGTCTGGGCTGGAAGATGGGCAACAGAGAATGAATCTTGGGAGCTATAAATAAGTTAATAAATAAGGTTTGTTGTATCAACACATAGGAACCAAGAGATTTTTCCTACAAGTCAGTAAAGGGTGGGGGCAGAGGCTGGAATTGTTGCTTTGTGGAAGACCCTCAAGGATGAAAGTAACATGAGGACAAAGGTGTTTTCTTCCTTGCCCTGACCCTTCTAGAAGCCCCTGCCAACTCCTGCCTAAGAGGGCTTTCTTCAGACAGAAGAAGCAGAAGTTCCAGTCCTGGTCCTCTCCCTTACTACCACTGTGACTTCACATAATGGTGTCTGCAATTCATTTCCTCACCTGCAAAAGAAGAATGGTTCCAGAAGTCCAACCATTGCTCTGAGGCTTAAGGGAAATGATGATTGTGAAAGAATGGAAGATGAGGTGGTCCAAAAATATGAATGAAAAGACGCTGCCTCATTTGGAGGACACAACATTTGGGATGTTATCATGTAAAACACAAACAGATGCCTTAAACTTGGTGAAAGCCAGGGTTCTGTAGGAAGTGTCAGGGCTGTTAGGACGAGTCTCAGCTGAATGTTTTGAACCGGCTGCTGTTGATACTAACTGCTGGTAGTATCAGAAGAGAGGGGAAGAAAGGTCAAAATGAGAGTTGCAAGATTCTACCTGCAGGGACGAACAGAATGCAGACTTTGGCCTTAATAATCAGGGCTTGGAGTGATGCTGGCTGCCTGGGCAGAGAGCAGCCATCTCCGGAAACTCAGGCAGTTAAAAAACAAGCAAGCAAACAAACAAAACTTAGCTATCACATGCTGATTCCCCAGGCAATGATGGAAAGAGAAGGTTCTAAATTCTCATTCAAGAAGACTGAGAACTAGAGTTTGTGACTTACCCGTGGTATGCACGCAGCTGAAAACAGAGTGAGGGTGGCAATATTCCACCTCTCTAAGTCAGATCAATGATTTTTCTCTTGAACCATCCTGACTTCTAATAAGTTTCTAATCTGAATCCAGAAATAATATTTTGTCCCAGAAGTCCATGGTTCTTACAGAAGCCCTGGAAAATGTTTTTCTGTTTTGTTTTGCTTCTTAAAGGACAGGAACTAGCAATTATCAGACACCACTGTGTGCCGAGATGACACCAAGAGTGCAGACATAGGTGAAAGTTTTCATTCCCCTTGTACCTGTTCACTGAAGAGGAAGTTGACTCTCAGCCAAGTGCTTGTCCAAGGTTACACAGGACGTCAGGGAGAAGGATGTCTTTAGGCCAAGTCTATAACACTGCAGAAACCTGAAGGCCAGGCTTGTTCCCCTGAGGCCTTAGTTTCCAATATAGTGATTTTTTTTTCCTAGAAAAAGCACTGTATGTAAATATCAATGTGATTTCCAAACTGGCAGAAATGATGCTTTCAGACCTGGTTTTCTTTTTTCTTTTAATATGTTAATGTGTTTATGTTTATTTGAAAGACAGAAGAACGAGTTACAGACAGTCAAAGGAGGTGCTCCCTTGGCTGTCACTCCTCAGATGCCGGGCAGGCAGCATAGGGCCGGGCTGTCCACAGACGGTTCCCAAGCAGGTGAGCCATCACCTCCCTCCCAACTTGAGCAGGAAGCTGAAATTAGCAGCGGGAGCCAGGATCTCTGCAACTTAGCCCCTGGCTTCCATGAAAGTCTGTGTGTCAAATTTGTGCTACTTCTACAGAGACAACAAAACCCCTTCAGTTTAGCCCGTGGTGTTTTTTCAATATTTCTAAAATAGATTGCATTCTAACATTCATGATCGCTTCATGCAGATTTGGCTATATGAAGTAGAAATACAGCGTGTGGAGGCTGCAAGGTCCATGTCAGACTGCTGGTGCCCACCCCGCTGTTCTAGTTTCCCCTCCAGCCGCTCTTCACGTACCTGACAAGGCAGCAGAAGATGGTCCACGTAGGAGACCCAGATGGAGCTCCTGGCTTCAGCCTGGCCCAGCCCTGGCCATTGTCGTCAGCTGGGGAGTGCACAAGCAGTCTCTGCCACTCTGCCCTTCACACGAATAAATACATAAATAAACAAATAAGCCTTGTATACAAAGGAATACATATCTGCCTCCCCTTTTGTGTCCCTAAAACTTTCCAGGGCTTATTTTGTAATATTATTCTGCTTTACATAATGGGCAGGTCCTTTCAAAAAGTGTAATTAAAAATACATCTGCTTTGGTGCAAACAGTTTTGAAAATCCATGCAATTTTTTTTTCAGAATATTCATTTCCCATAGAATTTTTGAACAAGACATCAAACACGCTCATTGTTGAGAATGTGCAAATTTCAATAGAATTCGAGGAGTAAACTAAATTAACCCCGTATTTACACAACTCAGCTAGTCACCATTACTATTTTGGTGTATATTTTCATGAGGCTTTATTTTCTAAGGGAGTTTATTGAAGCTTATTATTAGTGTATTAATTAAACTTTATTTTTTAGAGAAAAGTATAGTCTTCCCTCCATGCAGCGTGTCTGTAATTAGCATCTTCTATTACATTGATGTATCCCTTGCCAACTGAGGAACCCACACAGGCCCATCACGATGAGGCAATGCCCCTCGTTTCTGACTTTACCCCTTGTGGTACATTCTAACGGGGTTCCACAAGTGCAAAGGATATATGTATCGACTACAATATCATAGTCATTTTTTCATTACTTAAAAGGAGATAAAAAATCAATTTTGACTTTCATCGAGTAGTAATAATTTCACGCTGCGTAGTTTAACCACAATGGCATTGTCCTCTGATGATCCAAATAACGCGTGCTTAATAGTACAAATTCTAGGATCTAACCGCCAAAAGCAAGCGTCTAGAAAACTCCACTTTCTGGAAGAATGTTTTCGTTTGATGAATTCTCTAACGGGAGGCAATCACGCCAGGGAAGTTTGGGGCCCAGATCTCAGCGTGCAACCTGGGGTTTCAGGTGCGCTCACGAGCCGACCTGGAGCCGGGTTCTCCACACCACAGTCGCCCCAGGCTCTGGGGAAATCGGTAGGCTTGCAAATCCTCACCTCGTTTCCCTTTGCTCCCGAAGCCCAGCCACAAGAGCCTTCGCCCGGAGTGAACTCGCCCGGGCAGAGGTGGGGCGAGTGGGCCGCGGGAGGCGGTTGCCCCGGCGACACGGTGGCTCCTCCCGCCCTGGGCGGGACTGCAAGGTTGGCCGGGGGTGGTGGGGACAGTCGGCTTTAGGGGACCCGGACTGTGGGGGTGGTGGCGGGAGGGGACGTTGGGTTGGAGGTGAGCTAGGTGCAGCTGAAGGGACTGGGAACGGTCCTGGGGGACGGAGAGCGAGGGTGGCCAGCGCGGCGGGGTCCGGTGGGCGTGGGAGTGAGTGGGTGGGAAGTGGTTCTGGAGCTCAGTGGGGTGAGCCGGGGTGGAAGGCGTGTCCTGGAGTGGCGGGGACGCTCGGCTTTGGAGGCGTGGCCCGGGGACCTGGCGCGGGCCCGGAGCGCGCGCCTCGCTTTCTCCCGCTGCCGCCGAGCGCGCCACCAGCTCTTGGCTGTGCGCGTCGGAACGCAGGCTCCTGAGGGCGCGCGAGCTCCTGGGCTCCGCCAGCACCGGAGGCCGGCCCTGGGATGCAGGAACGGCTTGGATCCGCCGACCTCGGAGGCTCCGCGGAGCGAGGGCTGCAACTAGGTGAGGCTGCGCCGCGGAAGCGTGGCTCTGCCGGGCGGGCGCGGGGCGCGGTCTGTTAGGTGAGAATCGGTCTCCAGGCGACGGCTTTCTTGGCTTGGGGGCGCCCTGTTCCCAACTTCTCTTCGGTTAGGGCTGCTCACCTGTTGGGCCACCGCGGGCGCTAAGCCTCTCCCTTAGGGCTGCTCGGCGCCGCCCAGCCGGCCCAACGCGTCGCTCCCGGGGGAGACGTGCGGCTGGCGTTCTTGCGAAAGACCCAAAGACCGTTTTCAGCAGGACACGTCCGGGGATTATCCTGAAACTTTATCCCGCGCTCCCTGGGCTGACACAGTGAACAAAGCTTGAGGGAGCTTGGTAGTGGCCAGGTCCCCGTTAATGGGTTCGGGTGGCAAGCCCCTCGCATCAAGAGACGCGTTTGGAGGACTTAATTTCGATAGCAAGTTGCTTCCCAAACTCCCAGCTCGGTCTCGTTTCAGGAGAAAGACTCGGATCCGGTCATTGGCCACCCCTGGCCCGGAGGGGGGCGACCTGGTTTGGTTGGGGGCGGGGGAAGTTGCTTCTCTGGTCCCGGGAAGGGGACTTAGGCTGCCCCTTGTTGGCAGCCGTCCGTCCGGCGGTGCAGTTTCAAAGCGTGAGCAAATACGCCCCAAAGGGCCCAGACACAAGCCTCTGGCCGGTTGTGTCCCAGCATGGGGCCATGATGACAATACGGAGAAACTTGGGCTGTATTCCGCACGTGTTCGCAAGGCTCCTCCCTGTCCCTCCTAAGGTGCCCTCCTACTTTCTGCCTGCCGTTTCGCCCCTGAACCCCTCCACGTTACACCCTTTATCAGCTTTTCTTTTCATCGGCCAAGAGGCACAGAAACTCTTTTCCCTTTCCCCTCCTCGTGTCCTGACAAACGCCCCCTTTCTCCTGAAGCCCCCATCCTATCTTGCAAAGGCCCTCACCTCATTGTTCTGTGACTCCTGCCCTCCACCACGCGCTGCTGGGTTCAACCTCGTTCCCATGCCTCACCCCTCCCCCTCCACTTTCGTGTTTCTTAACCTCCCTCATCTACCCCTAAGGGCCCCCCGAATTCTGTTTCTTTCTCCCTGTCCAAGTGCCAGGGTTTCTGTGGATTTCGTCCTCCTTCCCTGCTGTTCCTCCCCTGGGCACTCTCCTTCTCTTCTGGGCTTTTGCCGAGGGCCCCCGACAGGTGCCCCCACAGGTGCCATCCTCAGCCCCCCAGCTGCCCTCACAGTACACCTTGCGCCCCCCTTCCTTCCATGGTGGTTCCCCCCTCCACCACCATCCCCCGGGCTTCCTTCTGCTCCTCTGCACCCACCCTTCTCTCCTGCACACGGCGTGGGCTCAGTGCATCCTGCGTGGGAGGACGTGGGCAGGGAGGGGCGCGGGAGTGCTCTGGCTCGCAGTCGCTTTGCGTCTAGGCAGTTTGCCCCCTCAGTCTGGTGCAGTCCAATAGGTGGCTCTGGGATGATGGCTCTGTGCAATGTGGAAGCTTTTATTAGACAGTGAGGGACCAGCACTGTTCCGAGGACTTTACACACAATAACACTCATGTCAGTTCCTCCTCATATCCCTGTACACCAATGTCCCAGCTTAGAGACAAGAAGCAGGAGGCTGGGGAAGGGGATTCTTGCAGCTCTCTGTTGCTGGGGGCCCTTTCTCCCCAGTTGGCAGAGGTTCAGGGTCCCCAGCCTGTTGAGCTCAGCTCAGGCA